TCGGGAGCCTGGAGCCGGTGTGACCCGCGATCCTTCACGGGCGCGGGCGTCTCCGACGCGCTTTCACACGCGAATCGCTTTCCTCCCGTTCATCCAGACCCCAGTAAATAAATATGCGGAGTTTGTTTAGTGCCGGGCACGCCACCCCTCTCCGGGGAGACCTAGAGCCCACGGACAGCACTTTCGGGAAGACTTACGTTATGGCTGTGATGGTGTGAAGAAATGTAAGGGCGCCCAGCCCAAGGCTTCTTCCAAAAGGAAGTGATGTTTAATCCGAGTTCACTGGGATCGACTAGCAGAAGAGACAGGGGGAGCACCCCAGGCAGAGACAATGTGTATCTGAAGATCCCGAAGGATAATGGAAGGGCTGGGCAGATTTGAGGAATTAACAGAGCGTGCGCAAAGCTGGAGGGGCAGTGGGCCATGGAGCGTGGACTGGCGGCGGGGCAGGGCCCGGTGGACATGCCGGGGTCCCTTCTGGGGTCCTTAAGGAGTTATCTTCATTTACATATTGGGGAATTGAGGGCCAGAGAAAGGAAATGACTCAGACAAGGCCAATAGCGGTAGGAGAGCAGGTCTGGGACTAGAACGGGAACTCCCGAGGCCAGCCTTCTTGCCGCTATTGCCCAACTGCCTCTACTTTTCAGGCTGCCTCTCTGGCAGGGAGGGGTTGAGTGAGGGCTTTGTGGTGAGCCCTTTAGAAAAACTGTTTCTAACAGGATTTTGAATCCTTTTGGAGACAGGTATTGATTTTTTCAGAATGTCAGGCCTGAGGGAAGCCGTTTAGGGACAGGAAAGGGAGCAGAGGAGGATTGCCGATCCAGAGAATCTGGAGTCTGGACTGAAAAAGAACAAGGGAGTCCAGTGGGCTTGCCGGCTCCCTGCCCCAAACACAGCTGCAGGCCCTGCCTTGCTCCTGGCTCTGAGCAGCTCTCTCAGGAGGTGCAGCCCCTGCTCACTCAGTTCCTGGTATGAAAAGGTTCAGCTTTTCTCAGGGAGCACTCCCAAGACCCGCCCGGAGAGATGTGCTCTCAGGGGGCTACAGCCTGCAACACCTCCGCCTAAGCCCTTCTCCACTCCTCTCCAGCATCCCTCACTCGCACCCCATTTTCCTTTGAACACCCCTTTCTCCAGGTGAGCCTTGTCAGGTTCTCCTCCTGCCTGGACCTGTTTGACTGGCATTTCTGGATCTCAGGGAACACGTGGGTGGGGGAGTTGGGGCTCTCTGTGGGGTCTGGATTCACCCAGAGTGGTGGTGTGGGGCAGTAGGTTGGGGACACCATCCAGGGGTTGGTAGTACATTTAAAGCCTGAGTTCGTAGATGCTAGGGAGGAGCTTCAGGGATGACTCCAAGCATGTCACACTCTTTTCTCATCTTCCCCGTCAGGCTGGGAGCATTTTGACAACAGGAGGGGGCTGACTGAAGAAATTAAAGTATGAACTGTTAAGCATTTACTGAAAAATGAGGAAGATGTGTTAATGATTTGGAATGTTCTGCAAGTGGTCAAGCCAGTGGATATAGTACACTCGCATTTGTTGGGTATTTTTTATTTATTCGTTGTTGTTAATCCTCACCTGAGGATATATTTTCCAATAATTTTTGTTTGTGTTTTTTTTTAGAGACAGTGGAAGGGGGCCGGGGGACACAGAGAAACATCGATGTGGATATGAGAGACACATTGGTTGCCTCCCACACGTCCCCGACTGGGGCCAAGGAACAAGCCTGAAACCGAGCTATATGCCCTTAATCAGAATTGAACCCGCAACCCTTCAGTTTGTGGGCCAATGCTCTAACCACTGGAGAAACCTTCTAGGGTTGTGTGCATCTTTTTTTATTTTTTATTTTATTTTTTTAAGTATATTTTATTGATTTTTTACAGAGAGGAAGGGAGAGGGATAGAGTTAGAAACATCGATGAGCGAGAAACATCGATGAGCTGCCTCCTGCACACCCCCCACTGGGGATGTGGCCGCAGCCAAGGTACATGCCCTTGACCGGAATCGAACCTGGGACCCTTGAGTCCGCAGGCTGACGCTCTATCCACTGAGCCAAACCGGTTAGGGCTGCATCTTTTTTTAAAGGCTATGAAAACAGTGGTTGCCCCCCATGGAGTACTAGGATGTTGGGGGTGGGAGGACTTTACTTTTTCAATTAATGTGTGTGAAACAAGTAGGCCTGGCTCTCCTCTCTCCATCTCATCATGTCCTCTTCTGTTCCTGGCCCCTCTGCCTATGTACCCCAGAATGGTGCCCAGCCAATCCAGTTGCCTGTCACAGCCCAGCTAGGATCACGCTCACGTTGCCAGTGCGGAGGAATGAGTCCTTCCCGGTCTGGCCACCAGGGAGCAGCCAATGCCTAGGACATGCCTTGGGTAGGCCAGGGAGCTGAGAAGGCAGCCAGTCTCTTGGATCTGAGGGGAGCTCCAATGCCCCTTCTGTCCAGGGCTCCTGGGACAGAAAGAGGCACAGTCCACCCAGGTCCCCAATGAATCGGACAGACATTGGGTCCGGAAGGTGGTGATGGAATTGTCCCATCTTTATAGCACTGAGCAGGCCCAAAGCCACCCTTTCCATGCTGGTTCTAGGACTGCAAGATGAGGGGCATTCACTGGACAGAGCACACTCACTCAGCAGATGTCTGGGGTCCAGGGATTCCACGAGAAGGGGATCTCCTATTTTAATCCTGCCCCCAAGTGCACGCAGCCGCCAGTCCTAGGCCGTTACCCATCCGCTTTCTGTCTCTATAGATTTGCCTGCTTCACAGAAATGGAATCATATTATGTGGTCTTGTGTCCTGTTTCTTAGCGTCATGTTTCTGAGGTCCATTCATAGTGTTGCAAGTAGCAGTACTTTATTCCTTTTTATTGTAGGTTAATACCTATTATATGGATAGACTGCCTTTTGTTATCCAACAGATGGACATGTGGGTTGTTTCCGTTGGGGGGCTACCATGAAAAATGCTACGATGAACACTGTGTACAAGTCCCCATCTGCCTGCGCATCTTTTCATTTTTCTTCAGTGGATACCTAGAAGTCAACTTGCTGGGTCTTATATTACTTCTGTTTAACGTTTTGAGGAACTGCCAGACTGCTTTCCATTTTACATTCCTACCAGCAGGGACTAGGAGTTCCAATGACTCCACATCCTTGCTGGCACTTGTCATTAACGTTTTTATAAACCTTTGTAGTGGGTGTGAGGTGGTATCTCCTCACGGTTTTGATTTGCATTTCTCTAATGACTAATTATGTGGAGCATCTTTTCATGGGCTTACTGGCCATTCAGCCCGGGGACACAGAGAGCTGACTGCATATTTACTGAAAAACAACAACAAAAACCCCCAAGTGTAAGTGGACCCCTGCAGGTCACACACATCATTCAAGGGCCAACTGTATGATTTGCAGATATTGTCCCCTGGTGTGAATGTCCTTATTTTTCCCTTTGGACCAAAACATTTTTTGATTTTCCTAGAGCCCAACTTATCTTCATCATTTGTTATTTTTGCTGTCATATCTAAAAATCACTGCCCAGCCCGAGGTCAGCATGAAGACTCGTGATTTCCTCTTAAGAGTTTTAGTTTGAACTTTTACATTTAGGTCCGTGATTCACGTTGAGTTAACTTTTGCACACAGTGTGGGGTCCTGGCCTAAATTTGTTTTTCACATGTGGATACCCAGTTGTACTAGGGCTATTTGTTGAAAAGACTGTTCTTTCCCCGTTCTTTTGGATTTTTTTGGCCCCTTTGTTGAAAATCAATTGATGCCCTACCTGGTTTGGCTCAGTGAATAGAGGGTTGGCCTGTAGACTGAAGAGTCCCAGGTTTGATTCTGGTCAAGGGCAAGTGCCCAGGTTGCGGGTTCAATCCCCAGTATGGGGCGTGCAGGAGGCAGCTGATCAGTGATTCTCTCTCATCATTGATGTTTCTATCTTTCTCTCCCTATCCCTCCCTCTCTGAAATTTTTTAAAAAAAGTAAAAATTCTAAAAGAAAAAAAAATCAATTGACCATAAATATTAAGGTTTATTTCTGGACTCTCAATTTCAATTCTATTCTATTGATTCCAAATATCTATTTTACTTATTTATAAAACGTTATTTGTTGATTTTAGAGAGAGGAAGAGAGAGAAACATCAATTTGTTGTTCCATTTATTGATGCATTCATTGATTGATTCTTGTATGTGTCCTGATCTGGGACCGAACCCACAACCTTAGTGTATCAGGATGATGCTCTAACCAATTGAGCTACCCAGCCAGCACCCAAATATCTATTTCAGTTAGGCCTCCCTTTTTGAGTCAGTAACAGAGCAGAGGCTAAAAGAGCTCATTTACCTGAATTTCCACTCTGGACTTTCGGAGGAGACGGGTGGAGGTGCTGCACCCAGGGCCTATTCCAGGGCAGCTGGCCTGTTAGGGAGGAGAGGGTTTGAGGCTGGGGGGACAGGAACATGAAATGAACAGGGGTTTCCTGCCCCTCCCGGAGCCGCAGTTGTCAGCCTGCTGCTTGAATTCCTGCGCAGCCCCTGCTCCGGAGGCCCCGGGAGGAAGGGCCCTGGGAAAGAATGTGGATGCCTTACATGGCAGTGAGGAGGGAGAGGTGCCCTCCCTGCCCACCCCGCCTGCCTGGACAGTCTGCAGGCTCTTCAGCCACCTGCCTACCTCAGCACCTCACATTCTCCAGCTGCCCCAAACCACATGCTGAGCCTCCATTGACACCAAGGCCAAGGGCATCAGGGCTCAAAACAGCCAGGCTGCTGAGCCCCGAAGAGCACAATTGGAAAAGAGGGAGCGGGCAGATGCCCAGACCCCCACGAGCCTCTGCTGTTTGGGGGTGTAGTGTGTGAAGGGGAGGCGAAGCCGGGTTCCTAACACCCCCCACCCCCAATCATGGGTAGTGCCTGCAAAGCCGCCTTGGCTCATGCGAGGGGGAAGGTGCCTGTGAAACTTGAGATAAGGTGAGAATTTCAAACGTACTGCCTGGTGAGGGCCTCGAGAGCTGTGGCCTTTGATCAGAGAAGCAGAAGAGCTGGAGGCGGGCGGGGGAGAGGGTGCGGAGCAGGGGCTGTGGGTACAGAGACAGCCAGCCTCCCTCTGTAGACTCAAACACACTTTATTCAGCACAGGAATGTCTGAACAGAAGGGCCGTGGGCAGGGTTCCTCACACAGAGAACTCTACTTCAAGCCCTGCTGTAAACAGAACAAAGACCATCACATCATGTAAACCATGGGGACCACAGGGGAGGGGCTCTGCACAAGGTCTGGGTCAGGTCACACTGGCCAGCACATGGTGCGGCAGGGGCAGCTGGGGCAGGTGGCCCACACCCAGGCCAGCCGCACCTGGAAGGGTTGAGTGAGCAGCTCTAAGTAGCTCCCTCAGGAAAGCCAGGGTGGAAGAGAGCAAGGGCCTGGCCAATTCAGGGGATTATCTCGGCCACTGAAAGTGACTGGATCAATTTAGCTGAAGCAGCCAG